ATCTGATCACCTAAACTTTCACAGACAAAACCAAGATAAGATTCGAAGTGAACTATATAAAGGTCTTCAAGATGCCATTTTGTGTGATAATAGTAATCCAAGACAAGTCGGTGGAGAATAGTACTTCCATTCACATTTATCAGAGGTCTTCAAAATATAATACAGCAATATTAGGATGCAATGGCCTTATTGCGTATTGGCAAGCCTAATTTATTCATTACTATGATGTGCAACCCAAATTGGCCCGAAATTCAAGCTCTAATGCTTTCTAGACAAAAATCTTAAGACTGACTAGACATCACAGGTGCTTTTGATATATGTCTATTTTAATTATTTAAGCTGTTATTAAAAGAAATAAAGCAGATTGACTTTTTTTTTTTAAAAAAAAATAATAACTTTTATAGCTTATAATTTATGAGTTATTTAATTGTTTTCAAAATGTCAATCTGCCTTATTTCTATTGACGGCAGCCTATTTTATTATGCCAATTTCTTTTTACTAATTTCTTTTTACTTCTGTAGCATGGATTTTCGTATGAAACTTTAGGAATTAAAGAAAGATCTTTTCAAATGTGGTATCTTTGGATGTGCAATTGCACATATTTATACTATTGAATTTCAGAAATGAGGTCTTCTGCATGCATACATTTTAGTTATTCTCTATCCAGAAGATAAACCAAGAACACCTGAAGACTATGATATCATTATCAGTACAGAGATACCTGATCCAACAGTTGATCCCATTACATATGCTACAGTTGCTTCTAGCATGCTTTATGGGCCATGCGGAGAGCTTAATCCTAATGCTCCATGCATGATTGATAATAATACGGGGCATAAACGATGCATAAAAGGATATCCTAAACAATTTCAAAGTGAGACCTTACAAGGAAAAGATTCATACCCTATATACTGCTACTGACAAGATGGTTGTCAAGTTGAGGTGAAAGTATGAAATCGAACAATTGTCTTGGATAACCAATAGGTTGTTCCTTATAATAGATTCCTTTGTACAAAATATAGTTGTCATATAAATGTAATTTGTGCTAGCATTAATGCAATAAAATATTTATTTAAGTATGTCTATAATGGCCATGACAGAGCAATGATTGAAGTAACTAATGAGCATCAACATAACATTTAACATCTATCAATTGTAATCGATGAGATCCAAAAGTTTGTTGAAGCATACTGGATATCAGCTCCAGAAGCTGTTTGAAGAATTTTAGAATTTAATATGAACAGAATAAATCCAGCTGTTACATGTTTACAGGTACATCTATATAACCAACAAAGGATTAATTTCGATGAAGATGATGATCTAGAAGAAGTTATTGAAGCTGACCAAAATCAGTGAACAACTCTTACTGAGTACTTCAAAATGAATGTACAGGATCTAGACACAAGAGAACTACTCTATGCTGATTTCTCTTTGCACTATACATAGAATAAGGTGACTAAGACATGGAAAAAATGCTAGTGTGGAAGTTGTATTGGAAGAATATACATGGCTCATCCGAGTGAAGGTTTGTCTTATTGTTATTTAATAAAAAATAAAAGGGAAGTTGCTTTAACTCAGATGAAAATAGAATTTTCCAAAATAAAATAAATAAAAATAAAAATAAATTTAATAAAATAAATTTCAATAAAGAATAAAATTTAATAAAATGATTTTAATACTCACTATACAATAATCTCTATTTAAGTGAACGATACTATCTACATTTACTTCTAACAAAAGTAAGAGGAGCTAAAAACTTTGAAGAGCTCAAAATGGTTAATGATATCACATGTGCTACTTTCAAAGAAAGTGCACAGCATAGAGGTTTCCTGGAAAATGATAATGAACATAGGTGATGCATGACTAAAGCAAGAGAATTTCGAATGCCTAAACAATTACATGATCTATTTGCAAGGTTATTAGCCTTTGGTGATATTACAGATATGCAACAACTATGGAATAAGAACTTTGATGCAATGGCAGAAGATTTTGCATACAAAGGAATTCTGGAGGGTCAACATCAAATTCAGGCAGTTCTTCAAAGTTTGAATATATTTTTACAAAGACATATAAAAACAGTAAATGACTATGACTTACCAGAATTGTTACAAATGAATACTGCTGATTTACCAAGAACAATTCTAGAAGAATTGTCTTATCATATTACCCAAGAAGATCTCGATAAAGCAAATATATTAAATGAAGCTTAGCATGCAGTATTTGATAAAGTACTGGATCTTATAAATAAAGGTAAAGAAGATGTACTGTTTGTTGATGGCCCTGCTGGAAGTGGAAAAACATATCTCTATGAGTGTCTACTTGCTTACATATGTTCTAATCAGCAAATTGCATTGGCAGTAGCCTTCTCAGGTATTGCCGCAGTCCTTTTGCATGGTGGATGCACTGCACATTCTTACTTCAAGATACCAATTACTATAATAAACGAAAACACAACCTGTAATATTAGAAAGGGAACTGACCTAGCAAGATTACTTAAAGATGTTGTCTTGGTAATCTGAGATGAAGCTCCTATAACAAATTGCAATACTTCTAAAGCTATAGACAAAACATTAAAGGATATTATGGAAAATAATCTTCTGTTTGGTGGAAAAATGTTTCTATTTGGAGAAGATTTTCAACAAGTTTCGCCTGTAGTTTCTAAAGGCACTAGAGTTCAAATAG